GGAACAGATAAGTTAGCTCCCCGTGCTCTTAAGTGCGTATTTCTTGGTTTCTCGAGAACGCAAAAGGGGTATCGATGCTATTCTCTTGACCTCCAGCGGTACCTTATGTCCGCTGATGTTACCTTTTTTGAAACCCAATCATACTTCACAGGTCTAGGTAATCACTTAGATATTTCTGAGGTACTACCAGTCTCTTCTTTTGGAGATTCAGTCACTATCTCCCATCCATCTTCCTCTACATCTCCAGCTCCACCATCTATAGCTCCCGTTCCACCATGTATAGCTCCAGTTCCATCACCTATAGTTCCAGTTCCTCCACATAATCCAGTTCAACCTTCTGTAGCTCCGCCACTCTTGACTTATCATCGTCGTCCACATCCAGCATCATGCCCAGGTGATTCACGTCCTGCATCAGGTTCTGCACCTACTGCGGACTTGTCTCCTCTTGGTCAATCAATTGCACTCCGCAAAGGTGTACGGTCCACACTTAATCCTAATCCCCACTATGTTGGTCTAAGTTATCATCGTCTGTCGTCATCTCATTATGCTTTTATATCTTCTTTGTCCATTGTTTCTATTCCTAAGACTACAGGTGAGGCACTATCTCATCCTGGATGGCGACAGGCTATGATTGACGAGATGTCTGCTTTACATGCGAGTGGCACTTAGGAGCTTGTTTCTCTTCGTGCAGGTAAGTCTATTGTTGGTTGTCGTAGGGTTTATGCAGTCAAAGTCGGTCCGGATGGCCATGTTGATCGGCTTAAGGCTCGTCTTGTTGCAAAAGGATATACTCAATTTTTGGGCTTGATTATAATGATACTTTCTCTCCCGTCTGTTCGTCTTTTTTTGTCCATGGCTGCTGCACGTCATTGGCCTCTTTATCAGTTAGACATTAAGAATGCTTCTCCACGGTGATCTTGACGAGGAAGTTTATATGGAGCAACTGCCTGGTTTTGTTGCGCAGGGGAGTTTAGTGGTTGTGTATGCAGATTGCGCAAGTCACTATATGGTTTGAAACAGTCCCCTCGAGCCTGGTTTGGTAAGTTCAACATAATTATTCGGGAGTTCGGCATGACTCGTAGTGAGGCTGATCACTCTGTGTTTTATCGGCATTATACTCCTAATCCGTGTATTTATCTGGTGGTTTATGTTGATATTATTATTACTGGCAAGGATCAGGATGATATTACTAATCTGAAGCAGCATCTCTTTCAGCACA